GGCCTTTGCCCATTTCTTAACTAGTTTGTTTTATAGTTATTGAGTTTCTTGAGCTCCTTACACCTTCTAGATATCGGACCTTATCAGCTGCATAGTCTGCAAATATTTTCTCCCATTCTGTCAGTTGCCTCTTCACTATGCAGAATGTTTCTTCTGTATTGCAGAAGCTTCCCAATTTGATGTAATCCCATTTGTTAATTTTGGCTTTGATTGCATGTGCTTCTGGGGTCTATTCCAAAAGTCTTTGCCTATTATGCCATTGACTTGTAGGGTTTTCCCAATGTTCCTTAATAATATGATGGTATCAGCTTGTAGATTTAGGTCTTTGATGCATGGTGAGTGGATTTTTGTGTAAGATGTGAGGTAGGAGTCTTGCTTCATACATCTGCATGTGAAGATCAAGTTTTCTCAGCTGGGGCCGGCACTGTGGCATACCAGGTAAAGTACCCACCTGCAAAGTCAGCATCCGATATGGCTGCCAGTTCAAGTCCTGGAAGCTCTACTTCTGATCCAGCTCTCAGATATGGCCTGGGAAAGGATAATCTCTTCAACAAATGGTATTGTGAAATCCAAGTATTGACATACATTATAGTGAAAATGGACCCTCATCTCATGTGGGGAGCCATTGCACCACACCCTAAAGATGGCGCCGGCTCCTTTCTCCCAGAAAGACTGGCAAGAAACAAACAACTCCTAATAAGGAGATGGCTGAGCTCCCTTCTGGCTTCCGCATTGCTGTACCAATCAATCCTTGCCACTTGGCTGCTTTTGATTGGTGTGCTGATGGCTATAAGAGGGAGGGGAGAGGAAAGGAGGTGGAAGAAGAAGTTTGTTCAAGGTTCCTGAATAAACTGCTTGAAGAAGAGTTCGGGTCATGTCTTCCTTGCTGGTTGAGGGACGCGACAACTGGTGGCCCGTACGGGGACCATCTCGAACGTGAACTCAGAACTTCCTGCAGTCAGGGCAGCACTGGCAAGTCCCCCAGGAAAATAAGGTGGGGATCCGCGATAAGAGCGGGCAATCCTGCAATAATAGTGGGAGGGTAGTTCTGCGATTAAAGCAGAGGAAGTTCTGCGACAAAAGCAGAAGGAGCTCTGACCTGTGGCCAGGGAAAGAGCGCAATTTTTGATGATCGGTAATTCACAGTCCCATCAAATTTTTCTGGCGCTGAATGCGCTGCTTCGAGAAAACGGTTTGAAACTTAAGCCTAGCACATTGCATAGGTTTTTACGTAACTGCGATACCATTGCACCCTGGTATGGGGTTTTGGGAAGCCTTACTATCCCTTCATGGGAAAAACTAGGCAGGGATTTGGATTTTGCATTTGAACAGGGTAATCTTGAAGGGGGAGTGAGACCAATATGGAAGTTAGTGCGAGCATGCCTCGAGGATGAGCAGTGTAGTGAAGCTATTCTGAGCGGTCAAGCTGCCTTGGAGGAGCTTCAGGAAGAGCGCTCCGAGAGAGCTGCCAGTGAAAAAGGGAAAACTTCGAAGGAGAGTCAGAAAAGAACTAGGAAAAAACTGTACCCCGATCTTTCTGAGTTGCACAGCCCCTCCTTAGTAAGTAGTACTAGTGCAGAAAGTAGCTCAGAAAGCAGCAGTGAGTCTGAAGAGTGTGGCGATAACAAAGAGTCTGATATAAAGCAAGTACGGGAATTAAATTGGCAAATGAGGAAGTTGCAACTAAAAGGAAAAAAGGAACTTAAGCATGATACTTTCCAGGGGAACTTAGGGGAGGAGCCTGAAGCCTCTCCTCCTCAGTATGAGCCTCTATCCATGCAAGGAAGAGGGCGGACTTTCTGTCCAGGAGTCTGGAAACAGGTTGGTGCAGAGTTGTTAAATGCCTATCCTGTCTTCCAAGATCTGCAAGGGCAGAGGTACGAGGAACCCCTCGACATAAAGATAATCAAATCAGTAGCGGAGTCAGTAAGAGCCTATGGCATCAGCGGCTCTTTCACGCTGGCTCAAGTAGAAAATCTTCAAAGATACTGCATGACTCCAAATGACTGGAGCGGGTTGGCTCGTGCTGCACTGTCACCAGGACAATACTTAGACTTCAGAGCTTTCCTGATTGACTTTGCCAATGAATAAGCGGCCGAAAATGCAGCGGCAGGGAATCCTCATTGGGACAGAGATATGCTGCTAGGCATAGGGAGATTCGCTAACCAGCAGACAGGTTACCCACATGAAGTGTATGAACAAGTTAACAAGATAGCCATCAAGGCTTGGAAGTCTATACCCAACAGAGGAGAGGTAGGTGGGAATTTGACAAAGATTACACAGGGACCCACCGAGCTGTTTTCAGACTTTGTAGCGCGCATGGCGGAAGCTGTTGGTAGGATTTTTGGAGATCCAGATCGCACCATGCCGCTGATAGAACAGTTGGTTTTTGAGCAGTGCACTAAGGAATGCAGAGCCGCTATAACACCATGGAAGAGCAAAGGGCTTCAGGTATGGATAAAACAATGCAGGGAAATAGGAGGGCCGCTATCCAATGCTGGCCTCGCTGCAGCAGTCCTTCAAATCACAAAGGGCAATAGGGGATCAGGGAACACTGGAGCATGTTTCAGCTGTGGAAAAATGGGACATATGAAGCGGCAATGTCCACAAAGGGGAAGAGGCAAAGAATAAAGACAGGAAGGACCAGGAATTTGTCCAAAATGCAGGAAGGGAAAGCACTGGGCCAACGAATGCCGCTCGGTAAAGGACATTGACGGCAACGTCCTTGCTTCTGGCAATGGTGGGGCACATCCAAAAAACGGGCAGCGGGGCCCTCGTCCCCAGGGCCTGCAAATATATGGGGCATTCGAGAGTCAGCATCAGGGCCCCCATCGGGACCAGCAGCAGGGGAGGCAAAGTCAGTGGCCCAGCTTCAGACATCCCAGAGACCACAGAGAGCCACTGCAGGCTCCGCAGGCCTGGACCTCTGTGCCACCGCCAGACTCATACTGACACCAAAAATGGGAGTGCAAGCCATTGAGTCAGACTTTCAGGGACCCCTAGAGGAAGGGACAGTGGGATTGTTGTTGGGACGTTCATCCTCTACCTTGAAAGGTCTCATAATTCATCCAGGAGTCATAGATTCGGATTATACTGGCATGGTGAAAATCATGGTTGAGTTCCCTAGAGGTATAACAGCTATTAATCCAGGAGATAGGATTGCACAACTTGTAATCCTTCCTAGCAAGCATTTGCAGTTCAGTGCATCAAAGAAGCAATGAGGAAGTGAAGGCTTTGGATCCACAGGTGTAGATTGTACCTTCTTGTCTTTAGAACTAGACCAGAGACCAACCTTGAAGATAAAAATAAATGGAAAGGACATTCTTGGCCTACTAGACACAGGTGCAGACCATAGTCTCATCGCCTCCAAGGATTGGCCTCCAAAGTGGCCTAAGCAGGCATCCTCACAATCCCTTCGGGGACTGGGATATTCAGAAACTCCTGAGATGAGCGCAGTAATGCTGCGCTGGGAGGATGCAGAGGGACATTCAGGCATGGTGCAACCTTATGTTTTGGATTTACCTATCTCTTTATGGGGCTGAGACCTTTTGAAAGACATGAACTATAAATTAAGTAATGAATACTCCCGTGTTTCTCAAAAATTGATGAAGGATATGGGACACCATCCGAATTATGGAATAGGAAAATTCTTACAAGGAAGAAATGAGCCCACTGAAGTAGTGCAGAGGCCTCCTCGCCAAGGGCTGGGTTTTTCATAGGGGCCGCTGAGGAAGGTATTCCCATTACTTGGAAGCATGAGGACCCAGTGTGGGTTCCTCAGTGGCCTCTGTCCTCAGACAAATTGGTCACAGCACAGCAATTGGTTCAAGAACAATTGAATTTAGGACACATTAGACCCTCTGTATCGCCTTGGAATACTCCTATTTTTGTAATAAAAAAGAAATCAGGGAAGTGGCGGTTGCTACATGACTTGAGAGCTATTAATATGCAGATGCAGGTCATGGGGCCTGTGCAACATGGGCTGCCTCTTCTATCTACACTTCCACAGGGATGGCCCATAATAATAATAGATATTAAAGACTGTTTCTTCTCCATACCCCTACATACAAAGGATTGTGAAAGGTTTGCCTTTACCTTGCTGGCGTGCAATCATGAGCAGCCTGACCAGAGGTATGAATGGGTTGTGCTTCCGCAGGGCATGGCTAACAGCCCCACAATGTGTCAGCTATTCATGATTTACAATTAATTTTTTAAATTTGGATGTGCATGGGCACTCAGCCGCGGACAGCATCAGTAACAAGGAAACCCAAGTAGAGGGTTGGTAAAATGGAAAGATCTCTTGACGGGCCAGGGGCGTGGCCCTGATCCCGTGCTGGCATGGGCACAAGGTGCTGTTTGTGTTTTTCCACAGGATCAACATGACCCGGTGCGGGTTCCGGAGCGAGCGGTCAGGCGGTCTGCCACGAGGAGAATCCTGCCGTTGCTTCTGATACTCCTGCCTCAAAGGCAACGGACACTGGCGGAGCAGAGATGGGGGATTCTATCAGTATTCCCAAAGCCGATGCCGGTGATGTATAACGCTCAAGTGTTCCCTCGCTTTTTTGCCACCAATCTTACCTTGGGAGTCCCTTACTTGCCCATGGATACAGATTCTCAATATGCACCTGCAGGAAATTACACCTTAGAAGGCAGTTTATGTTTTTTGATTAGTAATAATATTACTTATGAAAATAGCGCTTCAGGATGGTGGCCTGCCATGGAGAAGAAGGACCAGGGGTCTACCATTCCTTCTCAGCCACGATGGGCCCCTCGTTGCTATGGCAATCATGGGGATGGTATCTTGCCGTGGGCGGGATATCAAGGGCGCAATAACATTTGGGCAAAGAAAGGATACTTTACATTTTCTCCCCAGATAAATGTGAGTGGAAATTTTCAGGGTTGTGTGTGACCTCTGTTCAGTATGATAACATGACTCAGGCAGCAAACTACTCTAAACAGTTGTCTCAGATGCTCTTGCAGAATTGGTCCGCGGAATTTGACTACACCTTGAAGCAACTGCGCCTTGCCGTGGACACCATCAACTCCACGCGTGTGGATGTCTCCTTTGCATCTGGATTGTCATCCTGGATCCACACAGCCGTCTCCAGCCTGAAGGAGTGGGCGGGACTTGGAGCTTTGACGGGGTTGCTGTTACTTGTGTTATTTTGCCTGTGGTATTTGTGCAGGATGAGGACAGCTCATCGGCGGGAATAGGCCATGATAGCTCAAGCCTTTTATGCCCTCAAGGCTGGACAGTCGCGCAAGCATGGCTGGCCTTCCTTGAATGCTAGGCATGGGTGCAGGGTGCGAGGCAAAGCACTGCAGAGAGAACGAGCCATTACGTTCTCTGGAAGGCAAGTCTGTCTGCATGTGGGTTGGCATCCCAGATCCCACCCCCGCAAAAAGGATGCTGTTCCAGGTGGATGCCTGGCAGTGGGGGACAGACCCCTACCTTCTCCTGTAATCCTTAGATGCCTGGTTCTAAAACAAAAAGGGGGAAATGTGGGGAGCCATTGCACCGCGCCCTAAAGATGGCGCCGGCTCCTTTCTCCCGGAAAGACTGGCAAGAAACAAACAACTCCTAATAAGGAGATGGCTGAGCTCCCTTCTGGCTTCCACATTGCTGTACCAATCAATCCTTGCCACTTGGCTGCTTTTGATTGGTGTGCTGATGGCTATAAGAGGGAGGGGAAAGGAGGCGGAAGAAGAAGTTTGTTCAAGGTTCCTGAATAAACTGTTTGAAGAAGAGTTCGGGTCGTGTCTTCCTTGCTGGTCGAGGGACGCGACAATCTCACACTTTAGGTAAAAATCAACTAAAAATAGATTGATGATTTAACAGACCTGAAACTCTAAAATTAGGAGAAGAAAATAGCAGGGAGAAAATTCCATGACATTGTTTTATTTAGAGATTTCTAGGATAGGACCATCAAAGCAGAGGCAATGAAAGCACAAATACACAAACAGGGTTTCATCAAACCACAAAGCTTCTGTACAGTAAAAGAAATAAATAACAGAATGAAAAGGTAACACACATATTGAAGGAAATGTTAGCAAATCATACATCAGATAAGCGACTAATGCCAAAATATACAAGGAACTCAAACTTCTTAACAATGAGAAAGAAAATATTTTTTTAAGACATGGGGAAGGGCATGAAAAGATATTTCACAAAGAAAAATACTCAAATAGCCAAAAGTTACATGATGAAATGCTCAACATTACAAATCATCAGAGAAGCACAAATTAAAATCAGAATAACATATCACCTCAAATCTATCAGAGCAGCTACTATCAAAAGATGAAAGATAATAAAGGTTAAAAAGGATGTACAGAAAATGAAAGCTTTGAATGCTGTTCATGGTGGTATCATAAATTGTGCAGTCATTTTGGAAAACATGGAGGTTTCTCAAAAAATTAAAAACAGAATTACCATATGATCTACCAATAACACCAGACACTATGAGAAACAGTGACTTCATCAGCCCTTGCCCTGACTGTTGATGAACAACTTAATACTTTATCCCTTTTAGTATTTTTTGTTCTACTTAATACTATTGGTTGAACTCTGTAATTAATACACAATTATTCTTAAGTGTTCAAACTTAACTGCAAAGTGATCCCTGTTAAATATAAAAGTGGGAATAAGAGAGGGAAGAGATGTACAGTTTGAGACACGTTCAATTGGACTTGCCCCAAATGGTAGAGTTAGAAACGTGCCAGTGGATTCCAATTCAATAACATCAAGGTGGCATGTACCAATGCCATCTCACTAATCAAAGTGATCAATTTCAGTTCACAATTGACCATAATGATAGGTCTAAGAGTCAAAGGGATCACACAAACAAGACTAGTGTCTGCAAACACTGATAGAATAAAAAAGGGAGAGAATGATCCAACATGGGAAGCGGGATACACAGTAGACTCATAGAATAGCAGATGTCCTAAACAGAACTCTGGCCTCAGAATCAGCCCTTAAGTCATTCAGATCCAGATGAAAAGCCCATGAGAGTATTTCAGGCATGGAAAGCCAAGACACTCTGGCAAAAAAAAAAAAATGACCTAAATGAGAGATCTCCACGAGTGAGATCCCAGTGGAAAGAACAGGTCATCAAAGAAGGAGATACTATTCTCTAAAGGGAGGAGAGAACTTTCACTTTGACTATGAACTTGTCTAAATATGATCAGAGTCGGCGAACTCAAAAGGCCTCCATAGCCTTGGCAACTCATGACAAGAGCCTAGGGTGATTACTGATGCCATAAACAAGAGTGTCAGTTTGTTAAGTCAACAACAGGAGTCACTGTGCACTTACTCCTCATGTAGGATCTTTGTCCTTAATGTGCTGTACATTGAGATTTAATGCTATATCTAGTACTCAAACAGTATTGTTCACTTTGTGTTTCTATGTGGGTGCAAACTGTTGAAAGCTTTTTTAATATATGCTAAATTGATCTGTATATAAAGATATTTGAAAATGAATCTTGATGTGAATGAATGGGAGAGGGTGCGGCAGAGGGGAGGGTTGCGGGTGGGAGGGAAGTTATGGGGAGGGGAAGCCATTGTAATCCATAAGCTATATTTTGGAAATTTATATTCATTAAATAAAAGTTAAATAAAATAAAATAAAATAAAATAACACCACCAGGTATGTATACATACAAGATTCAAGTAAGGATGTCAAGCAAATGTTTTACATTCCTATGTTCATTGAAGAATTATTCAAAATTTTCAAGATATGGAAACAACCAACAAATGATTTTTTAAAACTATTTACTGTATTTATTTGAAAGGCAGAGAAACCAAGAGGGAAAGATAGACAGAATAAGACAATCTGACAACATATAAAAGGTAGAACAATGCAGTTCAGTGGTATTTATTCCAAAAAGCAATTAAAAACCAAAGTAATTTGTTACTTTCAAAGTAATTTGCTAATATCAATAAAATAGGCCATAAGTCAAGCAGCACTAGTAGAAACTAGAATTTTTTCAGCAGATGAAGAAAAATCATTTGATAACATTTATACAAGAATTAAAAAAAAAAAACTTAATGAAACAAAAAAAATAGAAACCTCCTGGACTGATACACAGCTTTTATAGAAACTCTACCACAAACTACACACTTAATCTTTTTAAAGATATTTTATTTATTTGAAAGATAGAGTTACAGAGAGAGGTAGAGACAAAGAGAGAGGTCTTCCATCTGCTGGTTCACTCCCCAGACAGTTGCCAAGGCTGGAGCTGCATCAATCTGAAGCCAGGAGCCTGGAGCTTCTTCCAGGTCTCCCATGTGGGTGCAGGGGCCCAAGGACTTGGGCCATCTTCTACTGCTTTCCCAGGTTATAGCAGAGAGTGGGATCGGAAGAGGAGAAGCCAGAACTAGAACTGGCGTCCATATGGAATGCCAGTGCTTCAGGCCAGGGCTTTAACCCACTGAGCCACAGTGCTGCCCCATACTTTATCTTAAAATAAAAAAAAATTCCTTTCCAATTGTGAATTACATAGAAACATCAGCTATCAAAACTTGTATTCATCAGAGTTTAAGTACTCTTAGCCAATACAATAGAGCAATTAGTGGCATAAGTATGGAATTAAAAGAAATAAAACTACCATAATTTTCAGGTATGTTTGTGTATTCCAAAATTAGAAAATCTCAACAGATACATTATTAGATTTTTTTGTTTGTTTGTTTGTTTGTTTTTTTGCCAGGCAGTGAGACAGTGAGAGAGAGACAGAGAGAGTTATAGACAGTGAGAGAGAGACAGAGAGAAAGGTCTTCCTTCCATTGGTTCACTCCCCTAATGGCCACTATGGCCAGCGCTGCACTGATCTGAAGCCAGGAACCAGGTGCTTCCTCCCAGTCTCCCATGCAGGTGCAGGGACCCAAGCACTTGGGCTATTCTCTACTGCCTCCCCCGGGCCACAGCAGAGAGCTGGACTGGAAGAGGAGCAACCGGGACTAGAACCCAGGGTGCCGGTGCTGCAGGTGGAGGATTAGACTAGTGAGCCACAGCGCCGGCCCCATTATTAGGATTTTTAAGAATGAATTTTTACAACACAAAAAGTAAACACTAGTATAAACTGTGAATTTTTAGTTAATATTAATGTGTCAACATTGGTCTAACAATTTTAACAAAATTACCACATCAACCCGATATTAAAAATGGCAGTAACTGGGGAGAGCGCTGTGGCGCAGAGGGTTAAAGCCCTAGCCTGAAGTACAGGTATCCCATATGGGCGCCAGTTCTAGTCCCAGCTGCTCTACTTCTGATCCAGCTCTCTGCCATGGCCTGGGAAAGCAGTAGAAGATGGCCCAAGTGCTTGTTCCCCTGCTCCCAGATGGGAGACCCAGAAGAAGCTGCTGGCTCCTGACTTTGATTTGGCCCAGCCCTGGCCACTGTGGCCATTTGGGGAGTAAACCATCAGATGGAAGATTCCTCTCTCTTTCTGTCTCTCCCTCTTTCTCCACTGCTCTGCCTTTCAAATAAATAAAATAAATCCTTAGGAAAAAAATGGCAGGGTTTAGAAGCTCAGGGAAAAGTGATATATAGAAACACTGTACTTTTTACTTTTTTCTGTAAAACTAAAAGTATTCTAAAAAATAAAATTACTAATTTACAAAAGAAATTCAGTACTTCAAATTTAATTATATTTCTGTATCTTTAAAATATGATTAGAACATAAATATTCTATTGAAATTAGCATTAAATATTAAAGGCCTAGAAATAAATATCAAAATAACATGCAAGACCTCTGCATAAAACCGTAAAGATTTTCTGAGTGAGCTGAATAAGGCTTTGGATAACAGAAGGAAGTATCACTATCAATAATTAGAATGTTCAATATAATAAACACACATGCTTATAGATTGCAAGACTCAACAATGTAAATATGTCCATTCTCCCCAAACAGGTTTATGGAATTATATTAATGTCTGTAAAAAGAGGCTGCTTATGAAAGCCAGTGCTGTGGCATAGTAGACTAAACCTCCACCTGCAGTTCATGTCCAAGCTGCTCCTCTTCTGATCCAGCTCTCTGCTTATGGCCTAGAAAAGCAGTAGAAGATGAATCAAGTGCTTGGGCCTTGCACCAGCATGGGAGACCCAGAAGAAGATTCTGGCTCCTGGATTTGTATTGATCCAGCTCCTGGCCATTGTGGCCAACTGGGGAGTGAACCAGCATATGGAAGACTCTTCTGTCTCTCCTTCTCTATCTGTAACTCTACCTCTCAAATAAATAAATAAAATCTTAAAAAAAAAGGGGGGAGGGTTATGAGGACTGACAAATTTGTGACAAAACAGCTAGTTAAATTCCAGGCAAAACTGACTATCCGTATGTCAGAAAATAAAATTTTACCTCTTTTTTATACTATATAAAAATTAATGAGGGGCCGGCGCCAAGGCACAGTAGGTTAATCCTCCACTTGAAATGCCGGCATACTATATGGGCACCAGTTCTAGTCCCGGCTGCTCCACTTCTGATCCAGCTCTCTGCTATGGCCTGGGAAAGCAGTGGAAGATGGCCCAAGTCCTTGAACCCCTGCACCTGCATGGGAGACCTGGAGGAGGCTACTGACTCCTGGATTCAAATCGGCTCAGCTCCAGCCATTGCGGCCATTTGGGGAGTGAACCAAAGGAAGGAAGACCTTTCTCTCTGTCTCTCCTTCTCACTGTCTACTTCTCAAATAAATAAATAAAATCTTTTAGAAAATTAAGAGAGATGGGCATGTGGGTGTAGCAGGTTAAGCCACCACCCCAAAGACCACATCCCATATTGGAGTTTTGGTTCAAATCCAAGTTACACAGCTTCTGGTACAGTTTCAGGCTACTGCGCCTGGGAAAAAAGCAGATAATAGCCCAATTTTTTGCATCACTGCCACCCAAGTGGGAAACGTGGATGAAGTTCTTGGTTCCTGGCTTTGGCCTGGCCCAGCCCCAGCTGCTTCAGGCATTTGGGGAGCCAATTAATGGCTGGAAGACAGCCCGCTCTCTCTTGCTCTATTTCCCTCCCTTCCTTCCTCCCTTCCTTCTTCTTTTCCAAGTAAATAAAATTAACACAGATATGAAAAGACAGTTACAGAAGGACAGAGCCAAATGATCTGTGAAGCATAAGAAAAGATGCTCAATTCATCAGAAAATAGCAAGTGAAGATGACAGTGACATTGCTTTATATCCATCAGACTAGAAAAAATGAAAAAAGTAAAACATTTATTAGTGGAAGAGATGTGAAAGATTAACTTATACATGCAAAAGGAAATAAGGACATACCAACAGAGAAACAGCATATATATATATATGCATACATATATATTTCTATATAAATATCTACGTTTACCTATAGATATATACAGAGATCTATTGAAAGAAATTTGATTGTTGCAAAAGCATAGTATGAATAAAATTATAAATATATAGCTATAACATTATAAAACATTTTTAAATAATGCAGAAAATTCACTAGAACAAACTACTTATAACTCACATTAGCAAGTTTTTTATCAAAACGCATAATAAAAATACAAATGATGTCAAGTAAACCCCGTTTCTGTGTACAAGTTTAGAGTAGGGGCTCTGGAATTAACAAACTGTGAGTTCAAACCACAGATACATCTCTAGGTCTGAAAGTTCTGAGAAAGCTTAACCTCTGGAAATCTCAATCTCCGTGTACAAAGTTGATAAGCATAGAAATAAATGTGAGTTCCTTTCCATATTGCCTGACATCTAGAAAGTCATCAGGCAGCCAAAATAAAGCACATAATGAATAATCAAAACACAGTCATAAATGAATAACAGTTTTCTGTTTCAAACTATGTAATTATCTCATTGCCACAGATCTGTTTTTCCCTTTGAGGAGTACTGAAACATTATGCTTACATGCAACATCATGAGGCCTTAAGGTAAGATAAAAATGTTTCCACTTTAAAAATATGTGCAATAATTCATCTGCCTCACCAATGGTAGAAATTTTATTTTCATCTGACCACAATTCTAATGATGACAGCACAACAGTGACTTTAAATTGGGTAAACATCTAAGAACAGAAAAACAAATATGTGCAGTTAATTTTTTATTTTTAATAATCAAGAAATTATTTTGATATTTTTGTAAAATCATTATATATGCATAATTTTGTTATTCAGAAACACTACGTCAAGTTAGTACAATTTATAATTTTAAACTAAAATACGTCTGATATGAAAAGGGAAATACTTACTGAATTTACAAGGCCAAAAACTTCAATGATTTTATTTGTTACTGTTGTGCTATCAGAGCCCAGGTATTCATCCTGAAAAACAGAATCAATTTCATATTTTAATACAATTTGTTACATGACATTTTTGAGATTTTCTTTTTTTTTAAAGATCTTTTATTTATTTATTTGACAGAGTTACAGAGAGTGAGAGAAAGGTCTTCCTTCCATTGGTTCACCCCCCAAATGCCTGCTATGGCCAGCGCTGCAATGATACGAAGCCAGGAGCCAGGCACTTCTTCCTGGTCTCCCACGCAGGTGCAGGGTCCCAAGCACTTGGGCCATCCTCCACTGCGCTCCAGGGCCACAGCAGAGAGCTGGCCTGGAAGAGAAGCAACCGGGACTAGAACCCAGCGCCCATATGGGATGCCAGCACCGCAGGCAGAGGATTAACCAAGTGAGCCATGGCGCCAGGCCATTTTTGAGATTTTCTCTCCATCTACTGTCAGAGGTTTGAGGCTGCTTTTGGGTTTAACAATTCAAAATAAGACATTAAACTGGATCACTCATACATTGCTGTTGGGAGCATAAACTAGTATGGCTACTCTGAAAATTAGTTTGGCAACTTCTTTCAAAACAAATCAATTTACTCTATGATCCAGAAATTGCACTCCTGAGCATTTATCCCAAAGAAATGAAAACTTACGCTCACCCAAAAACCTGTGTCTATGAACGTCCATAACAGCTTTATTCATAATAGTCCAAAATTGGAAACAACTCATATGTCCTCCAGTGGTTAAACAGTTAAATAAACTAGTGCATTCATACCATAGGATACTATTGAGCAATAAAACAGAATGTTTGTTGACATCTAGAAGAACTTGAAAAATCCTCAAGAAATTATATTGAGTGTAAAACAAATCCTAAAATGATACCAAACACTATACTTATGAATATTTAGGAAATATTGGTGAAATTACAAGAGAGAACAGCTTAGTGGTTGCCAAGGTTAAGAAGACAAGGTGGGAGGGGGCAGAATGGCTGTGACTTACAGGGACAACGTAAGAGAGACTTGTGGTGATGGCACTATTGAGTATTCCGATTGTGGTGGTGGTTACACAAGACTACCTTTGTGATACTGAAACATAATCCTGTCTCCCCTACACACATGCACATATGCTTGCACAAATTAGTACATATATAACTACTGAAATATGAATAAACTCCATATTGTAACAATGACAAATACCACGTCTATAGATCAACTTGCTACTATACTATGCCTTAAATGTCCTATATGATCTTTAAATAATTCAAAACTAAACTCATTATCCTCCCTAAGAAAATGGTCCTACTTAAATTTTTGCTACTTCAGTGAATAGTCTTATCCTCTCCTACATCTCACGCTTATTTTAATACATGCTCCATGAAAACAGAGGTGGTTTTTCTATTTTGTGCACTGCCATTTCCCTAATAACTAGAAAAGCAAATGGTATCTAGATGTTATTCAGTAAATTTGTTAAGTAAATGATTAATCAAATAAAATTATAGGTCCCTCAACTTTAATCTCATCAGTAACTTTTAAAGTTGTTCCTTTATTTCTAGTGCTAAAAAAATAATTTATTTGAGGTTTTCACCTTGATTACTAGAATAATATCTTACATGCTCACTTCTCCCATTTTCTTACCAGCAATCCAGCCACTATACAATTACCAAAATGATTATTTTAAAATTAAACCATAAGTGTGCCATACCCCTGTTTTAAAAATTTCAATGGCTCTCCATTGCCTTTAGGATAAACCCAAATATCATATTAATTCTTCATCTATGTCTGTGTCCCTCTATTAACCATGTATATTAAACAAGCTGAACTTGCAGTTTCCTGAAAAGAACCTTCGCTCACACTTGCAAAGCAAAGTTTTGCAGTCATCCCTGGTCCCAAACTACACCCATTACTCATTTCCTGTATTCATCATGTAACCCACAATACTGACCATTGCTCTTAGTTTTTGTATTTCCTATGCTTTGACATCTTGGGGCTTTACTGGTCACACTTCTTAGAGATAGCAAATTCCAAGAGATAGTAAATGGCTTACCTTCAAGTGTCCCTTTCAAATACAAGCCAATTAATCCAAAGCCTTGATCCAATCACCTCCTCTCTAAGGTTTTACACTGAGGGCCACTATTACCTTGCACTGCTCACCCCAGAGGCAGGTACTAGACAACAATGAACAGCCCCTTCATCCCAGGGCTCAGCTGAATTATTCAAACTAGCCAATCCTCCCACACCTGCCTACCCAACCCTGCAAAGGAAATCACAATAAAGTCTCCTGTCCACATTCCCCTCTGGCTTTCTCTCTGTCTCCTAACACCAGTCCTTTCCCTTGTGGCCACCTGTATGATGTACACTGCTCCCTCCTCTTGAGAATATGAGTCCCAAATAGCAATAGCAACATTCTTCTCAATAGCAACATTTACTGCTCTCATGGCCTCATCATACCTGAATAACAAGACAACCCTGAATTTTAAAATAGCCACTTGTGGGCTCTTACAGTTGCTCAAGCTACAATTGTGTGTTTCTATTCATATCTCCATTGCTAAACTACATTTTTATAGCACTATATGCTTTCCTCAACTGTGGCACTGAACTGACAAGGATAAATTGCAGAATCATTTTTATTAAGTCACTTAAGAACATATTTATATTCTTGCCCTTTAAATGGCAATATCTAGTAACAGAGAATTCATAGCTGGGACAATGTTTGCCTTATTACTATGTAAATAAACATAAGAATAGAGAGAAAGTATGCTTAACCAGTATTATACAAGTATTATACAGTATTATACAAGTATTATACAAGAATCATTTAAAACAACTCTCAAACAGTTATAACAAAGTCCTGAAACAAAATCATTTTCATAATCCAAACCAGCCCCTTTAGATGTAATCATATCTCAACTATCTCTTAAATATCTCATTATCTCCACTGTCTCTTAAATGGCCCCTCTGTCATTTTTTTCCTGTAATGAACCAAGTATTTAAGAAACCATCTTTAAATTCCTATTATCTCTGACTTTAACTCTGGATTCCTGACAAGCTTTACAACCTTTGGAATGTAATTGATAAGGAGCCCTTTTGATATTATCTGTGATGTTCCCCAGGTATGACAATCAAATGCTTATAATCAGGATAAACCCTGGAAAATATATTTTATCCCCATTATCTGAAATCTTTTAACTATTAGGAGAAATAAAGCACAACCTCTTTGATTACAAGCTAAGTTATCGGCCGGCGCCGCGGCTCAATAGGCTAATCCTCTGCCTGCAGTGCCAGCACACCGGGTTCTAGTCCCGGTCGGGGCGCCGGATTCTGTCCCGGTTGCCCCTCTTCCAGGCCAGCTCTCTGCTATGGCCAGGGAGTGCAGTGGAGGATGGCCCAAGTGCTTGGGCCCTGCACCCGCATGGGAGACCAGGAGAAGCACCTGGCCCTTGGCTTCGGATCATCGCGATGCGCTACGGCCGCGGCAGCCATTGGAGGGTGAACCAACAACAGCAAAAGGAAGACCTTTCTCTCTGTCTCTCTCTCTCACTGTCCACTCTGCCTGTCAAAAAAAAAAAAAGCAAAGTTATCATCTCAAAGACAATGAATATTTCAGAGGCCCTCAATTGTTTATGGGAATCAAAGATCTAGAGGTTTCCAGGTCAGGTAAACAACGAACTATCACAGGTATACCACAAAAAAAAAACAAACAAACAAACAAAAAACACTGCTAAAAAGCTAGACACTAGACACGTTATTGTAAGTTGTCCTCATATATAGTTGTACTATCATCACTTTTGTTCTAATAAATATTTTACACAGCAAAACATTTCTTAGAACACGGACAGCTTGCTCTTCATGACTTCCCCATAATAGGACTAAAAAGCTTAAAAATTTACATTTTGTCCACATAGTGCCATTAAAAGCAGTTGGAATCATATCTGAAGAAGTCCTAAAAATGTGAAAGGCCAGAAAAAAACCACTTCATTCTGCAGGACTGTTGACAGCATTAGTGTAACTCTATCTGGTTTTTCAGCTAACAGTTTAACAGTTTTACAATGTTTTTCCTATGACAACCCATTCAAAAGATCATAATTTTTAGTTGCTCTTAATGTATGGATAATTGTATATTTTTACCAAATATTTAAAATCAAAGAAAAAGCAAAACACATACCAAAGCTTTGTCCACCACAATGTACATTTCTAGATAAAGAGGAAATACATCTGGAACAGGCAGTATTGGCTAGAAAAAAGCAGCATATAAAACTTGAAATATTTCATCATTTATGAATTCTGAACACTTTATCAAAGCTATTACCATAGCATTTACATGACTATTTTTATAACTAATTAATATCAATGTATATCCCTTAAGTTTTATAGCAATGGACTCTAGCAGTAGTAAGAATGCTGGTTATAAAGTCATAACAGATCATCAGTATATCTGCAGCTCCCAATTTGTGAACACAGAACAAAACATCTAGCATCTATTTCATTGGCACACAAAAATTGATTAAACTACTTTATAAATTATTTAGGTGATAAAAATGAAAAAATGGTTACTATTTTTTTAACTCCTTCCTATATCCATGTCCTCTGCAGTCTATCTCACTGACAGTAGAGTCTGTTTCTCCTTGCTCTCAGTCTGGACTGGGCTTTGTAAATGGAGTCAATAAATACTCAGAGGCAGTGCTCTTGTGCCAATTTGTAAGTTGCATCACTTTCTATACTGCTACTCTTCCTCTCAGAACCCCTGCTTGTACACATTTGGCCAGTTGACAATATAAGAAATAAATGACCCATTCACCTCCATTTCCTCAAGGGTAAAAAAAAAAAAAAAAAAAAAAACCACAAATTTAGTATCACCACCTTAGGAGAAAAGTTGGTGAATTTCTCTAATATTGTGGTGGGTGAACTCCCACCATCCTAATTTCAAATTTATTTCCACAGCTAGCTCAGAGTGAGAAGCAGTTTATCAAACTACCTCCTCTGGGGCTTTTAATTTTCATTCTCTCATAAGGCCACCAAAGATGAAGTTCAAATAAACAACTGTTTATCAGGATTAAATAAAATAACATTAGGTTGAAGGCAGCTATAGAAGCATGTGCTTACCTCTCTGTTATCACACTTTCCCCAGGTATTCTCCCAGAAATTTCTCACATATTAAAATATACTTGAGGATTTTAAGATTTTTAACATAGTTTTGTGTGTCTTTAGCATGAAAGTTGGTTCAATTGCCTATTTCCCAATTATAGACATACATATTAAAAGTATTGGTATTTAAAAGTCACACACACACACACAACATATATATATGTATATATATATATATATATATATATATATATTTACTTTACTAAGCATAATAGTGAAATAAGGGCCAGCGCCATGGCTCAATAGGCTAATCCTCCGCCTTGCGGCGCCGGCACACCGGGTTCTAGTCCCAGTCGGGGTGCCGGATTCTGTCCCGGTTGCCCCTTTTCCAGGCCAGCTCTCTGCTATGGCCCGGGAGTGCAGTGGAGGATGGCCCAAGTGCTAGAGTCCTGCACCCCATAGGAGACCAGAAGAAGCACCTGGCTCCTGCCTTCGGATCAGCACGATGCACCAGCTGCAGCGCGCCGGCTGCAGCGCATCGGCCGCGGCGGCCATTGGAGGGTGAACCAACAGCAAAAAGGAAGACCTTTCTCTCTGTCTCTCTCTCTCTATCTCACTGTCCACTCTGCCTGTCAAAAAAATAAATAAATAAAAAAATTAAAAAAGTGAAATAAGCCAATCCCCAAAAGACAAATATTGTATGTTTTCTCTGATATGTGGTAATTTATACAGAATACAAAAAAATATAAAAATAAAATGGATATCCTATGGTTTATTATAATTTTTAGCCTATGTCTATACTTCTGTGGAACAGTGGTCTTTTTATTTTTCACTTGTGGAATATTATGGTTAGTGGGGCATTTATCTTGTCATTATAAAGTAAACTGAAATTATGTTTTTGTAAAAGTAAAAAAAGAAGAAAGGAATGAAGAAGGGGGATTGAGGGAGGGAGGCAAGTATGGTTATCTTCTTAAAAGTGAACCTGAAATATGTTCTCTTTATATTAAAATTTTTTAAATAAAAGTAAAGCATAGTAAAAAGAAGAGATTAAAAATTTTAATTAAGAAAATATATATTTTTAAATAAATAAGTAAAATATGTAGAACCTGAGGTACTGTGCATATGGCACTTTGGCAATAATGCTTTTCAATCATCTTGGTGATCCCACAAACTGTTAGTAAAATTTGATACAGTTCTTACTTCCCATTTTGGATGGAGCCTGAATATCTAGTATTTGGTTAAGAATTAAAATTCTACTGATCAATTTTTTTTTCTCATGAAAGAAAGTTTCCTGAGCACCGTCAGCAGGTCATATGTCTCTATAACTAAGGAGGAAGGAAAAGACTAGAAATTGAAACATGTTTATTTTTCTCAATAATGCTTCACTAAAACAAACTAATTTAATGTCTGCTTTTAAGGAATTCTTAATTTAATAGATTTCAAGTGAATTAATGAGAATTCAGCTTCTGAAATCATCTATTTTTGAGATATTTCTGACATTTTCACTTTTAAATGACAACAGAATAAAGCTCCTGGGTGACAATATTTTTATCTATAACACAACAGAGCCTTCATAACTATCTTTTTAATTAAAGAATCTAAACAACATATAAAAATTGTGCCTACTTTTGGGGTACATGTGATGTTTCCATACATGTATACATTGCATATTGTCCATTAAGGGCATTTCGAACACACTTAAATTTCTTTATGGTTAAACTATCCAAAACTTTATCTTCTAGTTTCTTTTCATATAGAAATGTACAGCACATTAACTAGTTATCCTATTGTGCAAGACTACCAAACTTCTTACTCCTACATAGCGGTAACTTAGCACTCATTAATCATCCTACCCCTTAACCTATCTTTTGATGAATGTTAAAAAGCAAAATTACCCAGCAAAGCTAATTTTCAAATTCCTTTAGAACTCTTTATATACAGAAGATCAGTTTAGCATACATTAAGTAAAGATTTCAACAGTTTGCTCCCACACAGAAACATAAAGTGAAAAATACTGTTTGAGTACTAGTTACAGCATTAAATCTCAATGTACAGCACACTAACTAATCTGGGATTTTTTTTAACACACTATTTAAACTCAAAGTCCAGACCTTAGGTCAAAAGTTGTTTGACTGTTAGTATCACTTCATTTACTGATTCTGTCCCAGAGAACATCTGAAGTTTAAAAATTTTTGTCTCAAATTAAGAAAGTGTCCTTTTATATCCATTACTTCTGTTCCATTTTTTCAATTTATTCTTTTTATAAGAATTTATTTATTCAGTCCTGCTCTCCATTTTCTTTCTTGGTTTTTCTCACCAGTTCACCATTGACAGTTATTCAATGGACCAAGCTACACAAGGCAACCTAGATTGGTTTGGAAGTAATTTATCTGCAAAGCTTTGTGCATTAAGAAGCAACATCCCTGAGAGGCTGGAGGGGATGGGAGGGAAGGGGAGTGAAGGGAAGAGAAGCAGAGAGGAGAAGTGAAGAGGGGAGGGGAGGGGAGAGGAGAGGAGGGGAGGAGAAGGAAGGGGTGAGGAGGAGAGGGGAGGGGAAGGGAGGAAGCTACAATAATAATCATCAACCAAGTAAATCTAAGGGGAACTTTCTACTTTTCTCAGTCTGTCATTTTTCTTTCCTCCAACACTCATCCAGATAAAGTGATGTCCCTGAGCACCCAGAGCTTCCTAACTTGTTTTGCGGGTCGTGTCACTTTTAAAACAACACAAATTCAGTTTGGAAGACAGGTGCTCAAATGAGAAAGCATTCCGTTATAAAGCAGATATATATATATATATATAAACCTTTAAAAAGAACTGTGTCACTCTTCAAAGACCAATCTATCTAGGACAGAATTCCTGCATAAATTATTCATTAAGGAAGTTCCCCTCCCAGACACCAGTAGAAGAAGGATTAAGAGTAAGGGAAGCCACATGAGAGTGTGCTCACAGGCAAAGTCCCAGAAATAAACTCTGGAGCAGGTTGTTCTGACCTGTGAGTCACTGATGCACTAGTTGAGGAACACCATAGGGAAATGCAGATCTCTAGAAGTTTCAGTAGCTGAAGGACTACAAATCAAAAAAGTGCCACAAGTGCCAACTGTTAAAAGCAAAAGCACAAAACAAAGACAGTGTCTTCTACCATCCCACCCTACCCCCACAAAAATACAGTATAAAGAAACCTGAGAACATCTGGGCAGAGCACCAGTACTGTTCACTATGCCAGGTCATCTAAGCCTTGTACTTACATTCCTAAACTCTTACAAGGGAAACAAAATTGCTAGTATTTAACAAAAATGTATTATAAATTATACACATATCTGTAGTAGTACTGAATATTTAGGTGTTACATACACATTTCATAGTCCATTAGGTCCTGTATTACCTAGGATATATAATTAGTAGCTATAACAGAGCCAGAAATTAATGATGAATTAAACAAGATTAGAGTTTACTTCTCTCATACCTAAAAGTTCAGAGTGTTCCACTATGTAAATTTTTCAAGAGCAAAGTGCATTCTACCTTCCTATCCATGTGGTACCATCCTGATCCATAATGACCAGGGCATTTCCTACACTCCAGACAGCAGGAAAGGGAACTGGCATGGAGGATAAGACCTTTCCCTTTAGAATTCAGTCCAGAGAAACACAGTATGTCTGCTCACATGTTATCATCAGCTTTAACTATATATGTCATCAACAGCTGTAACTTTGTCTCAAGACCTCAACTGGAAATAAAGGAGACATATGCCCAGCTAAATTCTGAGGGTTTTTTTTTTTAATTGACAGAAGATGGACAGGACATGTACTAGGAACAACTAATATTGCCACATACTCTTGTATAATCTATGTAAATGTATGCCATTATTTCTTGGTATTCAGTTTTATCCCTTTACAATGCGTTGATGAGGACTATCACATGCTGTAATGCAGGCAGCATGTTGAACAATACACATGGCCATATCAGGCAACCCTGTTTATGATACTTTAATTATACTTATAATTTAGTTAATGCTGACTCTTTGGTCATGAATCAAGCTCTATAAATATTGGCTCTATTGAATAACTTCCAGTAATTTTGAGACAACAGCAAGAACTTGGAATTTTTTGTTTAAAAATTACTTAATTTTTAGAAAATGATAATGTTAACAAACAAAATAAGAACCAAAATAAAGCTGCTCATAAGCAGAAAGTGATAGATTGTTGCAAGGAGAAAAGGTTGATGTCTGGATTCAAGGAAATAGTTGGGTTGAGAAAAGATTAGATGTTCACAAGGAAACGACATTTCCTATAGCCATACAATAGCCTATTAATTTAAATAAACACAACCAATAACTGCTTTGAAAGTAGTAATAAGGTATACCCAACTCACTTTTTCACCTATATAAATGATGTAGTCCTTTGAGTGTTTTTCTATGATTTTAGTATCATTGTTGAAACTTGAAAATTCCTTATTTCTATTTCCTAATTTATATAGAAGATGCTGAAATTGAACTGTAGATTCCAGAGGCTCAATTCCATAAGAAACATTTTCAAATTGCAGTACTCCTCTGTAAAATTAAATAAAAAATTTTGTGTGCTTTTAATTGAATCAATATTATGAAATTCTGACAAAATAGAAAAGAAAAAATAATATATAGAATATTCTGAGTCCAGTATTTTGACCCAAACTCTTCTAGAGATGACTCCAAGTGAAAAAATATTTCCCCAATCCACAAAACCAACTTTCCACTTCACCTTTTCATAGTTATAAAAGCAGCAAAAATTACCAAATTGATTATTAGATTACAACAAATTATTTAGTCAATTGTCAGATGCACATTACAGTGATCAAGTAATTCCTATTTTCCAAGTCAATGACTTAACTAAAGCTATATTAAAAGGAATTCTTGATGAATTTCTTTGGTTTGCAATAATTTAAAATTTTGAGTAACAATGCATATAGCATGAAAAATCATATTAATAAAAATTAAATTTAGCAATAATTATTAAATGACAATTTTGTTAGATACATGGTCTTGATTAAAAGAAAGATTCCAATGAATAAACAATTCATATAATTTTCCTTTCCTGAATATGGATAACAATTCAAATCACTACTCCCAAAAAAACAAATTTCAGCTCCAAATTTCAGAGATCCAAGTAAAAAGCACTATAGAATACCAAGGTTCCTGTTCATACTACTGTGGAACTGTGGTCTTTCGACTTTTTACCTGTTGAATATTATGGTTAGTGGTGTATTAAGCCTGTGATTACAGAGTGGATTGAAATTATGTTTTTGCAAAAAATAAAAACAATAAAGGAAGGAAAGAGGAGGGTTGAGGGAGGGAGTGAAGGAGGGAGGCAAATATGGTTATCGTCTTAGAATTGTACCTATGAAATACATGAAATTTGTTCTCTTTATATCATTAAAATTTTTGTAAAAACTTAAACACGTTTCCTGAGCTATAAAATGAAGGTAGATAATTTCCTGACAGAATAGAAAAACTCTCAGAGCACTAAGAAGGAAACCCAACAATTTGTGGAGAATTCATGATGGTGGTACTAGAAAAAACATGAGCAATATAACTATTTGTTTTTATATAACCTGCCTCTTCACTTTGAAAATGGCTTCCTTGAAAAAGAAAACATTATATGTTTTTTCTGATATATCCAAACACTACTATATATCAAAAATACTCTTTGCTGAGATAAAATATCCTGAATTTAGCTTCTCTTACGGTTGTCAAGCCCCTCCAACTGCCATTTCTGTACTTAAGAAAAATAAACAAGCAAACGTGCAAGGAAAGTTGTGAATCTAACCTTTCAGGAAGTTAGAAATGTCTCTGGTCAGTGAGGAAACTGAGAAGAAATAATGAAAGTGGAAACATGTTAAGAGGAGGATGCTGTTGAAAAACCTCAGCATAAGAATCCTCCTTCAGGTTCACACTTAATATAAACAATAAATTTTCTATAGACAAATATAACTCTGCTTTTCTGTAATCCAGAATAGGAAAAAAAAAATAACCTGAGTCCAGAGCACGTGCTGAGTGTGACAATGGAATTTGGATATCCTTCAATATATCCTTGATAGTAACAGTGAGGCTAGGGAAGAAAGAAAGTGGTTACTTAGGAACTGACAAAACTTTCTAGTGATTTCCTGCTTCTATACTTGATTGAACTTTCTGAATATTTCTCACAAGCTACCTGGTTTACAACAGTATGAGCAAAGTGGCATTGAGAAGAAAAAAATCGCCACATTTTGGACACTTTCCACAACCCTAACTATTCTTTTGGATTATGATTTTGTTTTGTTTTGTTTTAAAGATTTTTTTATCTGTTTATTTCACAGGTAGAGTTAGTTACAGACAGTGAGAGAGGGAGACGGAAAGGTCTTCCTTCCATTGGTTCACTCCCCAAATGGCCACCACAGCCAGAGCTACGCCGATCCGAAGCCAGGAGCCAGGTGCTTGCTCCTGGTCTCCCATGTGGGCGCAGGGGCTCAAGCACTTGGGCCATCCTCCACTGCCCTCCCAGACCACAGCAGAAGGTGCTGGACTGGAAGAGGAGCAACTGGGACTAGAACCTGGCACCCAACCTAATCATTAATCCATAAATACCTTAAATATATCCCCCTGTGAATCTTGAGAGTTTATATACTAGAAAAGCATTTATTCATGATTTAAAATTTTTTTAAAGTTTATAAAAACATAACATAAATCTTACCTTAATATCTGTAGAATGAGTACTCACAGATTTTTGATTATACAAATAAACCATAAAATTATCTGCCAAAAAATATCTAATTGTAAGAAAGAGAATTTTACACATTATTTTTCCTGAAACATATAAATAGCAGCAATTAGTAAATTGATAACCTCAGGTCAACTCTGACCCATTCTATGTTTCTAAAAGGAGTTTCATTGGGACAAAGCCATATCCATTCATTTACACATTGACAATAACTGCCCTCATAGTACAGACTTAAGTCATTTTGACACAGGCCATATGGCTTTCAAAGCCTGAAATATTAACTCTCCAAACCTTTGAAGAAAATATTTTGGAACCCTTGAATAAAAGGAGGATCTTCTTTTGAAATATATTTGAATTTTATACAAAGAAACACACATTTACTGAAATAAAGTAATTTTCCTGATTTAATAGACTCTTTAAAGAAAATAAGTCTGAAACACAAGGACAAAAATACTTTAACTGCTTTAATGTTACTTTTTTATGAAAATAATTATGTGGTATTTTAAAATGTATAGATATGAACTGGATGAAGGATGGACAGTTTTCTCATCTTTCAATGTAAATCCTATAACTATGCAAATGTATTACTTTTATAATGATGTGAAAGAGTATTGTGTAAAACTCATTTTCATTTTAGCATGTGCATTGAAACTTCAAGACATTCCCTTCATCCTTAAACGTTTTCATGGCATTCAATTATAGGTTGTTTTACTCTTAACCCTTAACACTTTAACATTCACCCCCACCTCAACAGATTTACTTTTTTCACTTTTGTGGCTTCATTTATTTCCATATAAAGAGGTATCTTCGTAGTATACTTTGGTTTTTGACATCTTGTTAAAATTCAGCATGTATACCAAGAAATGCACATAAGGGTACAGATAAATGAGTTTTTATAATATTTATTTTAAAGATTTTTTTATTTATTTTGAAAGTCAGAGTTACAGAGCGAGAGGGAGAGACAATTTTTCCATCCAGTGGTTCACTCCCCAGATGGTTGTCAGTTGGTCCAAGGGCTGCGGGTAATCATTAATCCATAAATGCCTTAAATATAGCCCCTTAAATATATATACATTGGGTAGTGTGTAGACCTCCAGATAATCTTATTCCAAAATATGCTAATGAATACTATAGAAATTACAGTATCACATATTATGTACCGATTTTACTTTGATTACCAATGTTAATAATTCAACTAAAAGTAATTTTTCCACTAATTTTTCTTAAAATAAATTTGTAACTATTAGAAGCTTCAAATTTAAAACTAGTTACTAATTTCTCTTATAATAAGTATAAAAAACTTTTTACAAGAAAAATAGCTTATGTTAAGTTTAAAAAAGAATTATTTTATAACTTATATCTGCTTTTCAAGTCTTACTCATAATTTTCTCTGGGTGCAATTCCATTTTGGATGAGATTTTCAAACTTTAGTTTGTATTAAAGGTGAACTTGTTTGAGAGTTTGAACCAAATTGCTTTAGCCATTTCTGAGTTGTGTGAAGGTGAAGGTACATTTTTCATGTACCTAACTAAAACTGGCTCCGACCTTTCCTCCTGATGTAAGTCACAAATGACTAATGCTACACCTCCTGAAATTGACAAGATTATTATATTTCTCACTGAAATATCTAAATTAAAAAAATATTATTTTAGTATAGAAAAATTTCCCATTCATGAGTCTGAAAATTGCTAATAGATGACTGCAGTTTAAAAGTAGAGAAAATATAATAAAGGTCAATTCAGATTTCTGTCTAAATTAATTTTTTTTGACAGGCAGAGTGGACAGTGAGTGAGAGAGACAGAGAGAAAGGCCTTCCTTTGCCATTGGTTCACCCTCCAATGGCCGCCGCAGCCGGCACGCTGCAGCCTGAGCACTGCGTTGATCCGATGGCAGGAGCCAGGTACTTATCCTGGTCTCCCATGCGGGTGCAGGGCCCAAGGACTTGGGCCATCCTCCACTGCACTCCCTGGCCACAGCAGAGAGCTGGCCTGGAAGAGGGGCAACCGGGACAGAATCCAGCGCCCTGACCGGGACTAGAACCCGGTGTGCTGGTGCCGCAAGGCGGAGGATTAGGCTAGTGACCCGCGGCGCCGGCCTATAAATTAGATTTTAAAAGGATATAGGACAAATATTAAATTAGTGTAGCATTTAAGGGCAGAAATTTTAGGAAGTTAATGCACTTTAAAATGTAAAAGTAACTTAACCTGAGCCTTTAAACAATCTAACTAGAGGGAAAAAGAGCAAGCTATGCTCAGCACATCCTCCAGTGAGTTTTGAATACTTAAATATTGATCCCCTCTTATGCAGCAAATTGGGAAAGATATCTATTATGAAGTGGCATAAAATAAATGTAGTATTATATATCACATTAAAGATTATTTTTAAGTTTTTAATACATTTATTTATTCATTTTAAATTTTATTTAAGGAATACAAACTTCATGCATCTCATATATACAAATTTAGAAACACAGTGATTCTTTCCACCCTATCTCCTTCCTGCCCATACTCCCAATGCTTCTTCCTTTTCCCTCTCCCATCCCCATTCTTTTTAAAAAGATCTATTTTCAGTTAACTTTATACTCATAAGATTAACTCTGCACTAAGTAGAGAGCTCAACAAATAGTATGAAGAAAAAACAAAAACAAACAAACAAAACTCATTGTTCCTCAACAGTCAAGACAAGGGCTATTCAAAATCATCACTCCACAAAGTGTCAATTTTACTCCTATAGATTACCTTTAAGGTACTCAGTTACCACAGATCAGAGGAAACATATGGTACTTGTCTTTTTGGTATTGCTTGCTAATACTACTTTAATTCTGTAAACAGAAAGCATTCAAATCTTATAATGGAAGCATAGTGTTTAGAATGTTAAAGGGGAAAATGCCTTTTTTCTAAACTTTACATTTGAATCTAAGCTGTGTCATATTGATAATTTTTCTTTTCTTTTTTTTTTTTTTTTTTTTTTTGACAGGCAGAGTGGACAGTGAGAGAGACAGAGAGAAAGGTCTTCCTTTGCCATTGGTTCACCCTCCAATGGCCGCCGCGGCCGGCGCGCTGGGGCCGGCGCGCTGCGGCCAGTGCACCGCGCTGATCCAATGGCAGGAGCCAGGTACTTATCCTGGTCTCCCATGAGGTGCAGGGCCCAAGCACTTGGGCCATCCTCCACTGCACTCCCTGGCCACAGCAGAGAGCTGGCCTGGAAGAGGGGCAACCGGGACAGAATCCCTGACCGGGACTAGAACCCAGTGTGCCAGCGCCGCAAGGCGGAGGATTAGCCTAGTGAGCCGCGGCGCCGGCTTCGTATTGATAATTTATACTCCAGCTTACTGAGATGAATTTGGATGTCTGTTCAATTCCTTTCAAGTTGGTACCAACTGGATAAACTTGTCCTTTATTTCCTTACTCAAAGTCAAGTGTGTTACATCACTCAGCTCCAGAGACTACTATGTGTGGGGCATTAGATGTAATAGAAATAAGAAACCCTCCAAGTGGTAGCAAGTTTTATAGTGTAGTTTAAAAAAATGTTGTAGAGGATTTATCTTGGGACAGTATGCAGACTGCATTTGAAAGGTAATAAATAAAGGTAATAAACAAAGTCAGGAAGAATAACCACAAAGCTGTTCAGTGGAAAGTGTCTGAGCTAGGTTTCACCAGGAATGGAGAGGAAGGGATGGAAACCAGAAAATTCTGCAGGACCCACTGTCTGATTCAGTTTAGAAAATAAGAGCAAGAATGGTATACACAAAGGCATTTGTAGTCAACTGGATACGAAAAACTGAAGAAAATATTATGACTATGGTTAATACTAGAGATGAACTTGAGCTTCAGAAAGGGAGTAGAAGATGTGGAAGATGTCAAATTACAGTTGACAGTTAAATTATGAAATTATTTTTTTATTTATTTGACAGGTAGAGTTATAGACAATGAGAGAGAGAAATACAGAGAGAAAGGTCTTCTGTTGGTTCACTCCCCAAATGGCCATGGCGGCTGGAGCTATGCCGATACGAAGCCAGGAACCAGGTGCTTCCTCCTGGTCTCCCATGCGGGTGCAGAGGCCCAAGCACTTGGGCCATCCTCCACTGCCCTTCCAGGCCACAGCAGAGAGCTGGATTGGAAGAGGAGCAACTGGGACTAGAACCGGGGGCCCATATAGGATGCCGGCGCTGCAGGCGGAGGATTAAACAACTGACCCACAGCGCTGGGCAAAATATGAAATTATAAACATATTCTTTGACATAATTTCTTACATGCCAATATTCCATTTAAAATTAGATCAAATGGGCTGGCGCCGCGGCTCAACAGGCTAATCCTCTGCCTTGCGGCGCCAGCACACCGGGTTCTAGTCCCGGTCAGAGTGCCGGATTCTGTCCCGGCTGCCCCTCTTCCAGGCCAGCTCTCTGCTGTGGCCAGGGAGTGCAGTGGAGGATGGCCCAAGTCCTTGGGCCCTGCACCCGCATGGGAGACCAGAAGAAGCACCTGGCTCCTGCCTTCAGATCAGCGCGGTGCGCAGGCCGCAGCGCGCCGGCCCCAGCGCGCCGGCCACAGCGGCCATTGGAGGGTGAACCAATGGCAAAGGAAGACCTTTCTCTCTGTCTCTCTCTCTCACTGTGCACTCCATCAAAAAAAAAAAATTAAAAATTAGATCAAATGCATTATTCTTTATTAGCACATAAGACCACATCTGTAACCTAGAGCATTTTTAGAAACATAGCAGATTCATTCTATTTAGTGTAACTGTTCTCACATCTTGCCATTTCCTATAAAATACCACAAATCACCCAATTTACTCCCTCTCTTCTCAGTGTCTTGCGTCTATTCCTTACACAATCATTGACAAGGGATGTTGTAATTTTTAAAGATTTATTTATTTATTTGAAAGAGTTATAGAGAGAGAGAAGGAAAGGCAGAGAGAGATAGGTATTCCATCCACTAGTTCACTCCCCAATTGGCTGCAACAGCTGAAGCTGTGCCAATCCAAAGTCAGGAGCCAGCAGCTTCTTCGGGGTCTCCCATGTGGGTGCAGGGGCTCAAGGACTTGGGCCATCTTCCACTGCTTATCTAGGCCATAGCAGAGAGCTGGATCAGAAGTGGAGCAGCCGGACTCAAACCAGCACCTGTATGGGATGCTGGCAACTGCAGGCAGCAGCTTTACCCGCTAGGCCATAGTGCCAGCCCTAGGGATGTTGTATTTTAACAAATTTTTCTGTATATCTATTGAGATAATGATATGGTTTTTATCCATCATTTTGTTGATGTCATGTATCAGTTTTATTGATTTGCGGATTTTGAACCATCCCTGCGTCCCTGGGATAAATCCCACTTGGGCAGGGTGGCTGATCTTTCTGGTGTGCTCTTAGATTCAGTTTACTAGTATTCTGTTGAGAATGTTTGCATCTATGTTCATCAGGGATATTTGCCTTTTTTGCTGTATCTTTCTCTGATTTGGGAAACAAGGTACTGCTGGCCTTATAATTAATTTGGAAGGATTCCCTCAATTTCAATTGTTTTGAATAGTTGAAGAATCAATATTAGTTATTCCTTACAATTCTGGTAATATTTAGCAGTGAAGACATCTGGTCCTGGGCTTTTCTTTGTTGGTAGACTATTATTGATTCAAGGTCAGTACACATCATTCTCCTCTTCCTGACAGTCCTGTATGAATGCATTATTGTGTTCCTTTAGGGGAATCATATTGTCTTTCTCGGTTTTGTTTCTTGTGTTTCTGTGTTGATCTTTATGCACCCAGGGAATCATTTGCTATTATTTCATCTGGAGGATAGATTTCTTTCTTTTTCTTTTTTTGACTGAAGGCTTTATTGTTGGGAATGTGCCATTATGGCTCAGTGGAGTGCCTGAGGCTTACACTGGAGTTCTGGGAGGATGTTCTGAGAGGGGCTAGGGAGAGCTGGCCACTGTTTACAGGGCAGGTAAAAAGTCCAGAGTAACAAGCAAGTTCTCTGTAATGGAACACTTCTAGTTACTCAGTAGGGGGAGGGGCTTTTGAAGCTGGCTAGTATGCTAAGCTGAACCAGCTGATTCACAGCCTACAGTGAGCTCATGGTTCCTGTTTGCCCCACTGACCCAGGCATGTGCATCATACAGAGCACTGAATCACTATGTACTGCATTCCCCCAAGATCTCTGCAATATCTGTACCCAGCATGCAGGTGAAGTAACACCTTGACAGTAGGGACTCCATTTTGGAGCACCTGAGATTCCATCTTTAGAAAGCACACCCTTTCCCCCGACTGTGAAACTCTGGTCTGAAACTATGATCTAAAACACTCGGATAATACCCATCCACTACATCACACCTGGCAACTTGCATCACACTTAGCAGAGCATAGAAACCCCCAGTATGATTGCTCAAGCTTGGAAGTAGACAGGCTGCACCTGGGTTAATGATAAAACTGTAACTTGTCTATGTCCTACATATGATTTAAGCCAATGCCTGGATTAATGTCAAGATTATAATTTGAATTGTTAAGATTGTAACTGGTATTGTTAAGATTATAATGTCTACTAGTTTCACATAGCTTTAAGTCAGCTTGACCCCTGTAACCATGTATTCCCCTCCCAGTTCTGTGGTTTTTACCTTTATAAACCCTGTTGCTTTGGGCTTCGGGGTCAAGAGTTCTTAAGGGCATGAGCCCACTCTCCACCGCCAGCAATAAAGGACCATCAGATTTTATCAGTGTGTGGTGCTCCTTTGTACTCACTCGGGTACAACACAGGGATCTCTTGAGTTTCTCAGTTAGACTAGGCAGGTGAATAGGTACCCAACCACAACCTGCCCCTCTCTCATCCTCATGGCCTATGCCCAGGACTCCCACAGTAGAGGATGCAGAATGTCTGTTCTCCACAACACAATGCATTATTCTTTTTTAGCACATAAGACCACATCTGTAACCTAGATCATTTTTAGAAGCATAGCAGATTCATTCTATTTAGCGTAACTGTTCTCAGATCTTGCCATTTCCTATGAAATGTCTGATCCTTCCCCAACACAAAATACCTGCTGCTCCCCAAGTCAGGACAGATTAGGCTGGAGCTCCACCTTAGCAAATGGAAGGAAGCAATATGGCGTCCCTCCATGGAGCAAAGTAGTTGCTCAGCCCCTGCCAGCTCCCCAAGCTAGACTCAAAGCCAGTGGAGACCCTGAAATTCTCTCACAGTCAAAGCCACCAGTGGCACGGTTCACGGCAGTCTACTCTCACCTTTCCCTGGAAGTTGGCGCTTCCCAACTGTGCACTAATCATGTATATGTAGGAGTCACCGGAGGCAGGCAGCTGGTGGTTGCATGTATGTCCTCTCCTTGCTTCTCTATAGAATCTCTTTTCTGTTCTATCCATTCCCCACTGAAAATTTGTCTCAAAGAAAAAGTTATTCCCCTGGGAACACGGTCCTGTCTTTATTTTTCTGATATCTTTCTGTGGTTGAAGTCAGTGTGGCTTCTCACTATTCAGCCATCTTGAACATCTGAAGTATACTTAGAATTCAAATAATGTCAAATCTCCAGTTTTGTTCTTTTTGGCTCAAGATCAATTTGGGAATTCAGGGCATTCAGGGCTCTTTTCTTTTTCTATGAAAAATGTCCTTGACATCTGATAAAGTTTGCATCAAATCTCTGGATCACTTTGGATAACAGGAGCATTTTAAAAATATTAATTCAAACATTCCATGAACATGATGTATCTTTTCAATTTATTTGTATCTTCATCAATTTCCTTCATCAATGTTTGATGGCTTTCATATTTCACCTACTGGGTTAAATATATTCCTAATTGGGGTGGGGGTTTAGGCTAGAAGTTAAGAAGCCTGTATTCCATATCAGGAACTTGGCTTTGATACCCAGCTCCAGCTCCTGACTTCAACATCCTATTAATGCAGGCATCAGAGATTCATCAAGCAATTGGTTTCCTGCTGCCATGTGGGAGACCTGGATTCAGTTCTTGGCTCCTGGCTCTGACCTGACTCACTCTCTGCCACTGCAGGTATTTGTGGAATAAGCCATCAGATGGTAGGGCTCTCTTTCACTCTCTCTTCCTCCTTCTTTCCCTTCCTCCATACATTCATCTCTCTCAAGTAAATTTTAAGATTTTATCCCTACATATTTTATTTTTATATATTGTAAATTGGATTATTTTCTTGACTTTTTTTCAGATTTTTTTTATTGTATAGAAACATTGCTGATTTTTTGTACGCTGATTTTGCATCCGACAACTTACTTTATTTTAGTTCTAACAGTTCTAACAGTTTAGTTCTAACAGTTTAGTTCTAACAGTTTTTAATTGGGTCGTTGGGGCTATGTACAGATAAGATCATATCATTTGCAAACAGGAACATTGTCCTTTATTATTTCTCATTTTAGATGCCTTTTATTTCTTTCTCTTGCCTGATTTATATGGCTAGGATTTACCATACTATATTGATCAGAATTGGTGAAAGCAAGCATCCATGTCTTGTTCCCAATCCTAGATAGAAAGTTTTTAACCTTTCATTGTTAAATATATTAGCTATAGACTTGTAATATCCAGACTTTATCAGGATTAGGTACATCTCTTCTATTCCAAATTTATTCAGAATTTTATCATTAACTATCTCTCTCTATCTCTCCTTCTCTCTCTGTAATTCTGTCAAATAAATCATAACAATCTTTAAAAATCAATTAAAGCAACTACCAACTGAACATTACCGTGGTATGTCCCAAGGTATTCATATACAGTTTTATTCAAAAGTGATACCCTGTTTCCTCTGATTGAGGTCTGTTATGTTTGGCTACATTCCTGTCAACACTACATCCAATCTGGTAACAAATCTTTTTTTTTTTTCTACCTCTTTAGTATCTCTTAGAAAAAATATCTACTTCTACACCATCATAGTTCTGCTTCTCATTATTTCTCTTATAAGTTATTTGAAATAGTTTCCTAATGGCCATTGGGCTATCATCTAGGTTATACACTATATACACATGTCCTATCAATATTTCAAACTTTGTTTTATCTCTTAACACTGTTAATTGTCCTAATACAATGTACAATTGCAATGTGAGTCCTCCCATTTACTCTCTTAAACTCTTCAAAAGTTTGGAGTTGTCATTTACTATGTTCTCCATGCCTTTAATCTAAAAGAGTATTTAACTCATTATTTGTAAGAGTTATTTGGCATCTAACACAGTGAATCACTTTGTTTACCCTTTTCATTTCTCTTTAAAAACTTTCCCTGCAACCAAAAAACTTCATGTTTTTTTTTTCTCTCTTAAAAAATATGTTCCTGGCCATCTATGTGGATTTAAAAACTCAATGTATTTATCTAAGCCACCTCTTTCTTCTTTCTCTGCCCAGCGCTTTTTTTTAACACATGCTATTTCCACTTTCTCATGAATGACCTCTAACACCATGCAACTGACTTCCACTTCCAAAATTTAACTGACTTTCTCCTCTTGAATGGCACAAATTACTTCCAAGTCAGATTTTCAAGACTAAGTTTCTGTCAAGAACTAAACCTCACAGAAATTATTTCAAGTATTTTCTCTATTTTCTGAAGGGTAGCATATAAACTAGTATTATTTCCCACAAACTAATAGCCATCCCTATAACAGCACAAAATCTAATTACTATGTTAAAGCTCTTATTCTACATTCTCATGGTGATCCCACTTCATTGATGAAACTGTAAGTGATAGAATAAGTCACAGATTTACTCATTGTAATATTGCCCCCCCCCCATTATACAGATCTTGCTGGTTCTGCCAACTTAATGTCATACAGCTGAGTCTTCAGGAGGTGAGTATTATTTTTTATGTTCCTAACCTCCATTCACAAAACACTATTTGAGGCATTAGGCTAAAATTTTAATTAAGTCACAGTAGAGTGACTGGTCATCTACGGTAACTAAATTGTTGGTAACAACTATACTTATCATTTTTTCATGCTCCTTATTGTTATGAGTAAACAGCTTCATAAAAAAATAAAATAAAATCTGAAGCCAAAGAATAAAAACATTACCTTTGCTTAAGGTGCACAGTATACAGTTTCTCATCAATTGGAATACTATAGGATATATGTTCCTAGAGAAACCAGAACAAACTCAAAGTGAAAACAAATTTTAAAAAGAAGCAAATCAACAATTTTATATTAATCCCTTCAAATAATGCTTTAAAAGTCTTAACATGTCTCAGACTACTTGTGATTTTAAAATCTGCAATAAAATATTTTAAAACATTAATATTTGTTTATTATATGATCAATTCTTACTATTTTCACAAAATAATCACAATCTGAGACTTTACATAGAATTACAAATCTACATGTAACTAATATGTAAACTTATGAAAGAAGAGACTATGTGCAAATGCCTATTTTGGTGGCATCATTAGAGTAATAAGGCATTCTACATCAATGAAACTTATTTTATCAGGCAGAAAATTATTCTATGATTTTCTTCAAAATTCTCCTACGATTTACTGCATAATTCCTTTATTTTTCAAGAGAAGATCGCTAACTAAAATTTCATATTGTCTCTGACTCTATCATTACTATTTTCCAGTTAGAACAAGGATGGCAATAGATTGGAATATGTGTAGGTGAGTGAACCTAAGAGATGAGAGTCTATCCAGCAAAAGAAAACATGTGAAAATCATCAATGAAAAGAAAAACCAGTTAAAGTGTATGAAAACTAAAGGAACACAAAGAACACAGAAAAATACAAGCATTCTAGGGTATGTGAAAATACAAAGAAACCAAGATTCTGCATACATCAAAGAAGAATAAGAAAGATTGTTTCAAGGTATACTAAATGGTCAAAGATGAAACAAGAAAGTTAAAATCATTTATGATAAGTCAAGTTGATATCATGAAACTACTGATATGATGTTAACAAGAAGAGCAATTTATCTCTACAGCAAACTTCACCAAAACACATAACCTCAGTTTAATCATGAGAAAACACCAGGCAAACCCAAATTGTGGTACATTCTACAAAATACCTCACCAGAACTCTTCAAAACTATCCAGATCTTGAAAAACAAGGAAAGCTCAATAAACAGAGCAAAGGAAATGAATAAGGTATGCACTTTAATCTCCTATATTGGATTCAGGAACAGCAAATTGCATAGCAGTGTAAAACCTGGTGAAATCCAAATAAAGTCATTTACTTAATTATAAATTATCATTGTTAATTTTTTAGTTTATATATATATCCATATAGTTTTATAACACCTAACATTATAGGAAACTGAACACTATGTATTATCTTTTTAAGTTTTCTGTAAATCTAAAATTGTTCCCAATTTTAAAGATTTGAGAGACAGAGAGAGAGGCAGGCAAGAGATAAACTGAGGAAAGAAGGAAAATAGTAGAAGGCAGAAATACTAAAAACCCGGATACTGAAGTGGTAGAATATATTAGTTTTAAAATATGCATTATTGAAAAAACAGTTCCTTAGTGAGTGTACTCTGAATGTGAGAACTGAACAAAGATGTTGGAGAATCATTGTCTTCTGGTAATGTAGAATGGTGTGCAAATAGTTCCCTTGTATAGTTCCTGGTTGAACAGTTTCTCAAAACCTCAGTATTTATTAAGGTATTAGTGTACTTCTTTTAACTATATTTTCACTGTGGGAGCTAACATAAAATGCCTTTTATTTGCAGACAATATAGAGAAATTTAGCTAGATTCTTAAAGAGTAAAGATGGGTTTGGTTATAATTGTTAGTAAAATGGTGCCATTTTATCTGTGGCATCATCTATGCCCTGGGCGCTGTATTAGGCTCTGGCTCCTGTCACCATTGCTACAAACCAGGTGACCAGAGAGCCCAACCACAGGTGTCAGCTCCACCTCCACCCTAATGAGATTTGCTACTCCTGTTTCCCTATATACCCTGTTACCCTAACAGGTAACAGGACCTGCTACCCACACGCGTGTCCTCCTGATTCCTCTCTCTTACTCTCTCACCCTCTCCCCACCCCACACCCGGCCCATCAGGCTTCCCCCACCTGTCAATAAACCTTCACTTAACTCTGGTGTCTGGTGTGTTTTGTGGTGGCCTTACAATAATCATAAGGTAATTTACTGAACAATAATAAATTTGAAATTTAATTTCTAGTAACAGGAAAATTATCTAATTTTAATTATAAAAATTTCACCCAGGATTTCTCAAAAATGATTAGCAGAAAATTATTTGCAAGTGTTGGAATAACATCCACAGATTCAGAAGACATTGTTTCTGGTTGCCTACTCCTTTATGCCCAAAATTACCTACCTTCTCAAAACATATTTTAGTAAAGGTCTAGAACTCCTGTAGACCAATAAGCATTTGGGAATTTGGAAGAAGGAGATTTATCTGAATTTACACAAAGCTACATTGATCATTATCTTTCTGTTTCATTGAAACAATGAACTTAAACAGCAACTTATGTACCCAGAAGCAGGGACTGAAATAAAGACAGGTGCATTATGAAGAGCACTCTCAGGAGAAACCTATAAAGGAGTGAGAGAAGGAAGATGGGGAGACAGATGAAGATAAATCTGCTGATTTGACTTCAGATCAGTTCTATCCTCGGGCTGATCCCCTAAGGAAGCTCTGGAATATAAATGTGCTTCAGAACCTTTCCCAGCTGAAGAAAAGGGAGATCAGCTTTTCACCCCTTTATCAATTAGTGTTTGCCAAAGGAATATCCTGGAGGATGGAGCCTGCAAGTAACTCCCAGGAAAATCCAAGGGAGTTAATTCAATAAGCCGAAGGCAATTTGCCAGAGAAGATCGCTAATTCTTACAGCAGTAATCCCCAAAAGCAAGGGAATAGACAAAACACTCTGATTTTACAAATGAATTCTGTTCAGGGACTAGGGTTGGGGACATACCTGCTACAACTTTGCCACGGCAGATAGATCTGGATGCCTTCACTGACATTTATCATCCCCTACTGTCATCTATTCTAGATTGTCCTCACCCTCAGCCATTATTTCTTCTGTTCCCAAGGGCTTTCTTGATCTGATGATCTACAGCTTCAACCCAAAGATTTCTAAGACCCTTACCCATGTCTGTTTTTTCCTATTTATAGTTAAAACTAGACATGTAAATTTCAACTAAAGTGCCAGGAATCACTTGAGTGCCTTATACTTATCTCTGTGCCCCAATAATTCAGCAATAATCCTACATCCTGATTATGATTACAGCAAATAAATTCTCTTGTTAATGTGGTAAATGGAAATTTCTTTCCTGCCTTATTGTTGTTCTACTGCCACAAAGCATCAAAATTACCCGTAAGGCAATGATAACTTTATTTACTAGGATGTTTACTGTTTACCCTGGTAGAACATTCTCGCTGCATTCCAGAGCCTTCAAACTCTCAGATATAAGATTCTAGGTAAAAGGGACTGGTGCTGGGACATAGCAGGGTAAGCCACCACCTGTGGTGCCAGCATCCCATATGGGTACCAGTTCAAATCCTGGCTGCTCCACTTCTGATCCAGATCCCTGATAATGCACCTGAGAAAGCAGCAGAACATGGCCCAAGTGCTTGGGACCCTGTACCCACATGGGAGACCGGGATGAAGCTCCTGGATCCTGGCTTCAGCCTGGCCCAGCACTGGCTGTTATGGCCATTTGGGGAGTGAACCAACAGATGGAAGATCTCTCTCTCCTCTCTCTCTCTCTCTCTCTCTCTCTCTGCTTCTGCCTCTCCCTCTCTGTAACTCCACCTCTCAAATAATTAAACAAAACTTTAAATAAATAAATATTCTAGGTAATGGGATCAAATACTTCCAATTTGTTCACTCAAAGTGATAAAAAGTAGAGGAATTTCTACTTCCACTTTGTAGTTTTGGATAATAGTCATTTTTTTTTACTATAAACTACATTCGAAGTATAATACCTCATCTTTGCAATTGTTACCTCCCAGTTTGAGTTTACACCTTTAAGAGGCTAACCCACTATACTATTAGGCTTTCTGCTTCTGAATGGCACCACATGTGATAGGGAAAGATGGAACCCATGATTATGCTTCCAACACTATACTTTATTTGCCATAAATTATGTCTATTATTTGACCTATTGTCCATAAATCACACCCTGGTGAAACCTTGGTTGGCAGTACTGGTCAATCCAGAGCAGAGAGTGATGCTGGCTAAGTTATGTTGTCCATATTCAGAAATATGTATCAAGAATAGAGGTAGGCATTTGATGTAGTGTGAGACACTGCTTGGGACACCTGCATCCCTATGCTGTTGCAGGCGTTCAGGTAATTAATCAGCAGATAGTATACCAATATCTCTCCCTTTCAGTCTCCCTCCTTCCCTTTAAAATAAGCAGAAAGAACACATTTTTAATTAAAGTAAGCACAAATCTACATTCCTTCTGGGACAGAAAAAGTCTAATGTAATCAACATTATAATAAGTAGATGATTGATCTTCTCAAGTAATGGTACCATATCTGAGTCTTGGAATTAAGTCTCGATTGCTAATAGGTCAGACATTCAGAAGCAGTGAAAAACAGCCCACGCTGTTAGAACTGTGCATCACCTCATTCTTTACCACCATGATCATTTCATTCACAAGTTATGGGGGAAACCAGAGAGAGGCTGACTTTTATTTGATGACTGCACCATTCTATCTACTTGTTTCTTTCATGACTCTTCCTATTTAACTCACTCAGGTATATATCAGAAAGAAACACAAGGTGTCCACAATTTATACCCATTATCATTGTGAAATTTGCATGCCCTCCTTAATCTAATCAAATATTGCTCCTGCTAGGACCTGAGAAAATAGTCAAACTACTCACTATATCCTATGCATCCATGTATACTTTAGTCTTGGGCTACGTCTTTCTGAATACAAAGCAGAGTACCAATTATACTACTTAAACTTCTCACTCTGGGAGGATTTGCTCTAACCACTGTCTTTAAAATCCAATTCAGAATTGAACTATAGTGTAGCAAGAACCCACCTTTATTTGGAATCAATGCACCAAAATAAGCAAAAAAAAATTGATTTCTCACAGTTCTAGAAGTGGAGAAATATAGTTTATTGGAAAAGTGAACCACACCAATAAAAGGGTACCATGGGAT